GTAAAAATATTAGCATTCAGTTACGGTTTTTATCGTCTCCTTCTCGCCTAACAAGTAAAAATATAAGCATTCAGTTACGGTTTTTATCGTCTCCTTGTCGCCTAACAAGTAAAAATATAAGCATTCAGTTACGTTTTTTATCGTCTCCTTGTCGCCTAACAATTAAAAATATAAGCATTCAGTTACGTTTTCTATCATCTCCATGTCGCCTAACAAGTTTATATAGTTATGTAATAGCCGTATACAGCCCACTGTTCATGCCGAATAAAACTAATAATTATTAATAAAATAGCAAATCAATAGCAATGATTACATGAACAAGATACTGAGCCTATGAATCAATTTTAATGTCTGTTTAGAGTCATTAATATTTTCTATTAATTATTTTCAAAAACTTCTGAAGTTTATTGTTTGACATACACAGGTTTTCTGGCAGGTTTTATAAACGCAGAAGTATAGGTTTCGAGTGTTGCGTAAACATTCAAATTTGAGTTTTCCAGTTTTTAAGGATTTATCTACGTAGAGTGTAAGGGCATACACGGAGGACCGTAATAGGAATATTTAATTTCAATCTTTGTAGAAACTAAGAACCATTACTTACAAGTAAGTGTCGTAAATCGTCTATTCCTTGTGTCAAAGTAGATAGGTGTGCACGCTTCAGCTGGACGAGAAGTCATTAGGCCTGTAAAGGAGAATTAGTGATGAAAATTATATATTTATGTAATTGATAACCAAATTACGAATAACACGAATGGATTGAAATATTTAATTAAATTATCTCAAAATAAACCTTCATTTCGGTGTAATATTGAAATTAACTTGAATTCTTCATAACCTCTGAATAGTGGTTGACCCAACGAGTCACGGTGGTCTACTAACTCTTAAATTTCAGCACTTTTCTGCTATATAAAAACCTGTCAGGAAGGGAGTTTTTACACCAAGGATTTATTTATCACCGAGTTACAGTAATTTGCAATTTGTATTTACAAGAAATGTGGTTTTAATAGAAATATTGTAATAATACAATTGATGTGATAATAAAACAACCGACAAGGTTCGATGCTGGGAAGATACACTCTTTAAGTAACGTAGATATTGGTCATGATAGGTCTTGGTTTCCTGAAGCTAGAAAGTCCCTTATTTTTATTATGTCTGTTTACGGGCGGTAAAGTTGCTAATTAATATTGGAGAATTCAAATTTGGTAAGCTTTGGTTTCCTGCCATTTTTCACGGGCTTTTATACTAGTGATATAAGTAAGAACAATATTTTCAATTAGCTATGTTCATTTCTGAGTTCATTTTTTGTTCTGATCTATCGATGTAGCTTGTTTTGATCAGAAACTAACGCTAATATTTAGTTTGGTCTTTTTCTACGTTACTGACTTACAGATATATTATATTATAAACGTAATCAGACTTGCCCTATTCCAGGTCGATAAAGATATATTCTTTGTGTGTATTTTTATTTTGAAGTAATTACTGTAAACATATTGTGTTATTTTTAAATTCGATACTATAAAATATTATATCTACTGTTTAAATTTATTTCACGAATACGTGTACTTGTTTCAAGCACATGAGAACTGTTCCGGTTCGCTTTGGCTCCACTACGTCACTGGTATTAAATATCTAGCTTACTGTAATAGTTTAGAACAGATTTAACTCGTGTTACCTGAGAATGTGTACACAGCTACAGAATTCCAAGCCTTTTGATATGAATTCATTCATACGCTGACACTGATACACACACATTACAATATGTGTGTTTCTTTAAACCACTAAACGTTCAAAACTAACGAATACTTTATGAGTAATCTGTCCAAAATGGAAAGTAAACAAAATTTGATATCTCTCGAAGCGTTACGATAAAACTCAATAATATTAAACTGGATAAAAAAATATTAATTTTAGAGCTCTGAAATCTTAGCATTGGTCCAGAGTAAAAACTGTTTCAAAATATATATGTCTGTATTGAATAACGTCTAAAATAGAATTGAAAAGTGCAAGCTATGAATATTTTCTATTCAAATTTCGTATCGTTCTGGTGTTGTACGTCACACTGTTTTAATTGTCTTAACTAACACTTAGAAGTGAAACAACAGCAACAGAATTCTAATGAATACCATTATTACACCAGTCATTGTTTGTTACCTGATATGTAGAATGAAGAGCAGGTTTGTGTAAGTATTACTGTTAGTTGACCAGTCATTGTTTGTTACTTCCTGCTCTTCATTCTACATATCCTTGTGTAAGTATTACTGTTAGTTGACCAGTCATTGTTTGTTACCTGATATGTAGAATGAAGAGCAGATCTGGTAAATATTACTGTTAGTTAACCAGTCATTGTTTGTTACTTGATATGTAGAATGAAGAGCAAGTCTGGTGAATATTACCCTTAACAGTAGATTAAACACCTAATTGTTGCTTATTATTATTGCCTACGCTATCGCACAGATGTTCTTTTTTAGAATTCTTAAGTATGGTGAACTGTCTATACGTAAGTTTAAATTAAGCATATTACTAAATAAAGTAACTCCTCTAATTACTAACGGTCTGGTTTCTTTGATTTAGTAAATCTTTTTATTATAATTTGTTTTAACACTTCAGAAAATATAAAATAGTTTTGAATTTTCTGTAAAAAACGATTTGCTTCTTTTGTTCTTGGACCCAATTATTGGTCAGTGTGATTGAATAACGTGTAAAATACCTTTTACTCAGCATGTCGTTCTCCCACTTTATCGTTTAAAACTGATTGAATGATTATATCAAAAGCTGAGCTTCGTAATTTTTTAGTAGTAGTTTAAATGTTGTGATTATACTAACTGTATAGAGCTTAAGAAACACTTTTTATTTGATCATTCCTGATTAAAATGAAAATAATGTTTACGACAAGACACTGCAAGATCAATATAGAATCACTCTTATTTGCGATTTAAATAAAATTATCGTGGGTTTGCAACTAAATTTTTTTTGTTAATAAAAAATGCGGACTGTGAATTAATTTTGACCACTTTAAGAAACTATTTTGGAGTGTATAATTTTCTGAAATCTTAATGTTATCTCAGCCAAATGTTATTTGAGTTGTAATACCACATAAGGGGAAAATGTTTAAGTGTTCAAATAATAGTGAAAATTCCCGTGTCACATATATACATAAGTATTTAAGCATAGTCCATGTTTAGAAATAATTACACCAAAGGAAAATTAAAGACATCTTTCCAAAATCTATTTATCTGGTTTTAGTCCATGTAATTTAATATTGTATACCAGATAGATTTAAAAATTAAGTTTCTGTTGTTCAAGCCCAAAGACTACACTCATCCACAGCGTTTCCTTCCTTCTAAATGAAAGACTTTTTCAGAAAATTATATACTCCACAGAGCATTTCCTTCCCTCCAGATGAAAAATGATCTCTAGTACGTAGCCGATCTTTCGAACAATGTTTTACCACGCATTGTTGTTTACCAATGACTATGGTATTGACAACTCTTGGATAATTTCATTGTCTATCGATTCTGTGCAACAAAATTCGCCACTATCATCACAACATCCACGTGCGTTAAAACAGATTATTTTAAACATAACTGAAAGCCTTTTGAAGGTTTTATGAGAACGTGATTATCAAGGTGGCCATTATCGTCTTAGTGTGTCAGTTTCCATACATTGTTGGTCAGAATAAATATACGCTGTTCAAAATATATCACAAACATCAGATATGCTGCTAACAGAATTATGAAATTTTCATACTTCCCCTAAGCACTTTGCATGTCTATCAAGCTGAGACTAAAGTTTTCATTTTTCGTGCATAACAAATCTTTTACGTGAAGGAAGGAAATATTATAAATAAATGAAAATATAATATTATTTAAAGCAACGTATAAAAATTACTGCGACTGTTGTAGAAGAAAAATACCGAAAATCGAGTTGTGAGACTGTTTCCATATTTCAACAAGAACACTCACGAATATCGGTAGTTGTTTCTTATAGTACGGATATAATTAAATAACTAATTATGTTCAACTGTAGAAGATCACATCTTTTAAACATGCTCTAAATGGAGCATAGCGAAGGATATCTTGTATACGATAAAGATACAAATATCGTTACTATATACTGTACGGTCTAACTGATATAGTTTCCATGATAATAACGTCTTGTATCTACAGAATTTATTATATTGTGGCTATGTCAAAGGCTTCAAAGTCAAAACCTTCAATGGTTATTTCTTGCGAAATTGAGCTGATAAGATCAAATACACAGGCCTGCGAATTTAAACTTCATAAAAGTTGTTTTAATCACGAATTTTCCATAATTCAGCTATGCAGATTTCGAAACTAATACTCATTTTTTCTATCACGTAAGGATTTTTTACAAATCGGGAAGAAACATCTCTTACTTGGATCAAATTATTATTTCGTTTACCACAATTAACATTTTTTTTCATTATTATTATGTTTGTTAACATAAATACAAAGAAACTTAAGAAAAGGGAAGAACATTGATGTTAAACGAATATGCATCCTCATTCATCCTGATTTTTTGTGAACTCCACATCTTTTAGTCTCAAACTACGTGTTGTGGTCTTTCTTTTATGTATTGCGTTATGACGTTTCGTGAAAAATCTGTACGTGATGGTAAAAAATGGATATTATTTCGGATTCAGTGTACAAAAATTGCTGTGGAACATGTAAAAATTTCAACACAATAAAACCATAGCAGGCCTAGGTTATCTGGTAAGTTTATATATTATCAGTATCAATGATCTAAAGATCACATCCGATGTCTGAGTAAAAACTGTGTGACCCTTGGTCCGAGAAAGGTAGTTTTTTAAAACAACTCTAGATAGTTTTAGTCAAAGAAGATGTTTTACTTCAATATTGAGTTATTTCTAATAGTAAGCTTGACAAGATTCACCTAGCAGCGCAAACGAAAAATAATTTTTCACAACCGATTTCATGTTAACATTAAAAAATATATTTTGAAAGTACTTTCCAACCTTGCATTCAAATGAGACGAGAATAGTCTAGTAATTAGTGTACCGGGCTGCGGACGTAAGGTCCAGAGCTCCATCATGTTACTGAATACGCTCTACACTTTCAGGTGTGGACGCGCTATAAACATGACAGTCAATCCCATTATTGGATTCAAAGAGCTGGAAAAAAACCCTTGTAGCAGCGAGTACTTTGGGCTGGATGCTTTCTCTGAAGTAGGTAGCTCAAAAGGAGGGACGACTAAACCGAACAGGAGGAATCTCTAACCTGTCCGCAGCCCGTTCAGCATATGCACACATACACAAAAGCTTCTAGAAGATTGAACTTTTTGATCAATCATTTATTTGTAATTACCTATACAATTATCCATGATATTCTCATGTAGACTGGCCTAATTTCATTTAGTGTGAAGTATGGTTTTGTTTTGTTATTTAGAGCTAACTGAATTTTGTTGTGGTTATTAGAATTATATTATTGTTTAAATACGAAGAATATTTGCTGTTACATTTCATCCAACTGTCAGGTTGGTCTTGAGGAAGATTTCTTATTGTTATTATAGAGGAAGAACAAGTTTCAGATTGTTGTCGTCTAATAAAAATTAAGTAGGGATAGATGGTGTGAGGCGGCCACCATAACTTTGAATACGGTTTTGAATATTTGAGATGAATGTTTTAAACTCTAAAAGTTTTAAAAGGAATCTTATTGATTGTAAATGTCATTTTAATTAAAACAAAGATTGGACAGACATTTTTTTTCTAGATATTGAAAAAAAAGACGCTTCTTTTAGTTAAGGTTGGGTAAAACGGACCCCCAAGATGTGGAAAAGTGTTTCCCATCGAATTCATAACTATTTCAATGTAAGATAAATGCTGTATTTAGCAAATGAATTTATATCACTTAAATCATTATTTAAATATTCTCAGCAAAGATTTAGAACGTCAGCAACTCATCGTAAAACAATTGTACGTAATAAAAAGTCAGAAAAATTGTCTGAAATTCACAAAGTAAAATTCCCTTAAATATCTACTTTGTAACCACAAAATCTTTAAACTGTTTACCTTAGATCAAAGTTGTTCAAAAACCAAACTAGTCGAGCTTTAATCATTCACATTGGCGCCCATTCGACAGTGCGTTTATGCACGAAGTCATTCAAACAATAGCTGCATATTTTATACACGGAGTCATACAAACAATAGCTGTATATTTTATGCACGGAGTCATGCAAACAATAGCTGCATATTTTATGCACGGAGTCATGCAAACAATAGCTACATATTTTATGCACGGAGTCATGCAAACAATAGCTGTATATAATTCACTCTAGATGACAGTAGGTTATAATTGATGACATGCTGCATTTCGATGTTGTGATAATAATGGCAAGTTCTGTTATTGGGAGGATTGAAAAGTTAGAGAAAAGGAAAGTCATGGTTGATATAATTTGATGACTAACCAACATCAGTGAGTCTAATGCTGAAGAACGATCCGCTATTCGTAGGCACGAAAAACAAACGTGTTCTTTAACAGTAATTTGTCATAAAAAGTTCCAATCGCTTCTGTATGTACCTTCCATGCCCTTTAAATAATGACACTGAATTGAAAACAGCAGTGATCATTATCAAGTATGCTACTGATGACGTCATCTCTGTTGGCATAGACGACAATGATTCCGATTATTTGCGACTTTAAAATGTTTATCTTTCCCTAAACTATAAGCCATAAAATGTAAGAAATACTTAGAAGGTGACTGTTACCAAGCTATAAGTATAGAAGGTCGTAAAGTGAAATCAAAATGTGTTTTAAAAACATCATTTGAATACGTCTCACGTTATAAGCGATATTTCTATATTTTTTTATCCGAAATATAGTCATAAAATAGATTAACACGCTTAGAACGGGTGTGTTTGAGTACTTTACGCAGATTGCAATAAGTAGGATCATAAGTTTAACGTTTTCCAAAGTCAGATCAAATAACAACAAGATTAAAACTCTAGGATAACTAAATTTTACCAAAACTGAGAAACATCATCCATGTGACACGAAAAAGGTAGAAGAAATAACTAAAACCATTAAACATGCCCTTGAAGTTAATAAAAGATTAATTAGTTAAGAACACTTGGATTAAGATCCATAAGCCGCCAACAAAAAAATCTAAATATTTAAGTAATTTTACTTGCCTTGTTGAATTTCGATGATCTGAGGTGTTCGAAGATGAATCTTCATACAGATAAACCCAGTAGTGCTTAAAGGGTAAAAAATAAAGAAAAAAAATCAATGTTGTTATACGCTTCTTCTTTAGGACTGTCATTCAATTTATAAAATCAACTTAGCTTGAAATAGAATAAATAAAGTTTGATTCTATTCATCGTCTATATGATTATAGCAAAGGAACTTAAAAAAATATTTGAAACAAAAAACAAAACGGTATGATATATGCACGTAAGACAGTAGTTAGGAATACATTTTTTGGAAGAAAAAGAAACGCTTGTTAAACACATACACGTAAGACAGTAGTTAGAAACACATTGTTTGGAAGAAGAAGAAACGCTTGTTAAACATACATTTAAGACAGTAGTTACAAATACATTGTTTGGAAGAGGAAGAAACGCTTGTTAAACACATACACGTAAGACAGTAGTTAGAAACACATTGTTTGGAAGAAGAAGAAACGCTTGTTAAACACATACACGTAAGACAGTAGTTAGAAACACA